CGCAGGAGGGGAAGACCCTCTGTGAGGTGGATTGATTCAGTGACTGGGGCAATCGGGATGGGTGTATCACAGACCATGTGATTGGCACAGGATAGAGCAGGGGTTTAGGGCTGTTGCACATAGGGTCGCCATGAGTTGCAAACGACTCGACGGCACATAACAACAACAACAACAACAGATCCTCACATATCAGAGAAATACAAAATTCTGACCAATGTATTACCCTTAAGGAGCTTTGATGGCAAAGCCCATAGGGAGCTGGACCACTGCTAACCCTAAGGGTTTGCCTCTTTGACAGTTCAAATACCTCAGTGGTTCTATGGAAGAAAGATGACCAATCATCTCCAGTGCAATTTACCTCAGAAACACAAAGAAGGGTCAGCTATGAGTGTGTTTCTGACATGAAGGCAATGATTTTGAGTTTGTGGGATTTGGGGTTTTTAAATTATCCTTACTTTCAAAAAAACACATTTTAGTAGGAGCCTTGGGAACTCTTTCTTAGCCATCTTTCTTTACACCGAGAGTTCAAGCAAGAGTCTGGCCCAAAGTAACGCCAATGAATGAATGGTGACTTAATGAACAGGTAAGTGGCCCCCCCCAAAAAAAAAAACTTAAAAAAATAAAAAAATCTTAGCCCATGATCTGAAGTGAATGTTACCTCTGGATTTAAACTTTCCTTTAAAAAATTACTTACTGTTCATTTAAAGAAATATAAAAGTCAAGTGTCCATATCAAAGAATACATGTATTTTAGTTGGGAACAACTTAGGGGAGAGGGTTTGGTGCTAGAAATGTAATGGGAATCCCAAGACTTTATGCCTGAGCATTAGTGCTTATTTTAGGTATATATCTGCCAGGCAAAAACCTGCCAAGGCAAACCAATAGCTAACCCCTTCTAAAGAGTCTTCTATCACAGCTTCCATAGCTTCATTCACATATATTTATAGGCCCCATGACTCAATTACGATAGCACCAGCCTCTCAGAGTATTTGTGACTCTTGGTGCAAAAGCACACGGTAAGTTTTAAGTTTAACTTTAGTCTTAGTTATAACTATTGAGAGTGAGATATGGACATAAGAGTAAGCAGAAATATTTATTGACTTATGTGCTTTCACATTCCCTGCTGCCTTATTATATGTCTATATCTCCTTAAAAAAATCATATATCCCAGGGGAGCTCTGGTGGCCTAGTGGCAAGGAGCTGCAACTACAATCCCAGAGGCACATGGTTCGAATCCAGCAGATGCTCTGTCGGGGAAGGAGGGACAATCTCCTCCTGTACCTGTCAGATCTGGTTTGACGGTATACTCACACAAAAATAATAAAATAGGGGAGATCTGGTGGCCTAGTGGTAAGGAGCTGCAACTACAATCCCAGAGGCACACGGTTCGAATCCACCAGATGCTCTGCCGGGGAAGGAGGGACAATCTCCTCCTGTACCAGTCAGATCTGATTTGACGGCACACTCACACAAAAATAATAAAATATTTAAAAAAATTTAAAAAATCATATACCCCCAGTAGAACGTCCCAATTAATTGGTCTTAAACATAGCATTCAAAACTGTTGTATTGGCCAACAAGCACATGAAGAAATGTTCAAAATCCCTAGCTCTAAGAGAGATGCAAATCAAAACAACAATGAGATATCATCTCAACCCAGTAAGAATAGCAAAATTTAACAGAACAGCAAGCAACAAATGCTGGCAAGGTTGTGGAGAAACTGGAACCCTTATTCACTGTTGGTGGAAGTGTAAAATGGTGCAACCACTGTGGAAAGTGGTGTGACACGTTCTCAAAAAGTTGCAGATAAAAAAAAAAATTTAAAAAAAGTTACAGATAGAGATACCGTTTGACCCAGCAATTCCAATACTGGGAATAAACCCCAAGGAGATCATAACCGCCATCCAAGTAGATATATGGACACCCATGTTTATCGCGGCTTTGTTCACAATAGCAAAGAGTTGGACACAACCTAAGTGGCCATCAACAAATGAATGGATGGAAAAGCTGTGGTATATTCACATAATGGAATACTATACTGCATTGAAAAATAAGGAACTCCCAACATTATTCAAAATGGGTGACCCTGGAGGATATTATGCTGAGCAAAATATCTCAGTCACAAAAAGACAAATTCTGCATACTGTCATTGTTGTAGAATGGGACTGACATCAGGGTTGGGGTAAGACTGAGAAAAACTGGATAGATTATGTATACTGCATTGAAACAGATAAGGGAGAGAACAGTTTAAAAGCGATATATGATAGGGGTTTATGGTTATAACAGGAATGCAGAATTAAGGTTACACAGTGGAGTGCATTCGGGGCGGGGGGACTGTATACCAACAAAGAAGCTTATCTTTTGCTTTTCGAAGAGAAAGGCGAACTTGGGATAGGAGTAAAGAAAAAAGTGCAACAATGAATGAATGGAAATGCAAAATCTCCGTAAATGTTCATTAAAATTAGTAACATTTTATAAAATGTTGTACTGGATTTGAAGTTTGTTATATAATAATAAAGAATATGGGCATGTGAACACTGTCACACATACTGCAAACAGCTAAAGTCTGATTTAAGATAAAGTGTTACAACAATAAAAGATAAATACAAAAGGCAGCTTTTGGCTCCCATAATAAGAATCCACTGTTTCAAACTCAGAAAGAAGTTCATTCCTTAGGAAGTTCTAGGATTTTTGCCTTACCATGAGAAATGTAACATTGAGAGACTCACCTCCATAGCACACCAAAATGCCAAGGGACCAGTTGTCACCAGTATATTTAGCTCTGTGAGCTCAGAAAAGTGATCTCCCTGGCAGTGACACAAAGCACTCAAACCTATCCCAACTGTCAAGCGGTAACAAAAGGGCGTGAGTAGGGGCAGAAAGAAAGGGAGATATCTCTCTAGAATTCCCACAAATTAAGCACATCAATTTCATCTTCTGATATAAAGCTAAAAAGAGGAAGAGCATATTTTTTAATGCATAAAGCTGGGCAAGTCTTCTGCA